TCTTGTGGGGTTGTAGTACTGCAGGGATAAAAAAAAAAAAAAAAAAAAAAAAAAAAAAAAAAAAAAAAAAAAACTCATATCAATGTTGCCTTCATGCTTGGGGTCATGTGCTAGTGTGATATCTTTCGTACCTCATTCCATTTTCCAATCCAAAAAGTTAAAGATTAGAGCATATTGCCCATTTGCACCCCATATGTATTCTATAATAAGGTCAAACCAATCCAAAATGATGTAGTACGTACTATGTATTAAACCGGCTAGATCTTTGTATTTTCACGCCTGCTCCACCAGAGAATTAGCTCAGTCTTCTCCGCGCAGCCGACTTTCCCCTCATCTGGTAGGAAGGGATGTTCATAGCAGTATGTGTAGTAATACATAGTAATAATACCTAGGTTCAAACGGTTTTCCCAAGTATGTAGTAACTTCGTTCCCCGCACCAGCTGTCCCCAGATGTACCGAGTACTACTCTGTAGTAGTAAGTACTCCGTGCTACAGTCCCATGGTTGGCCGGGATCATCAATGCAGTGCAGTCAGGTACGTATTACCTTCTCGACCCATCGATAAGAGACAGTATTCCATCGGTATTCTGTATGTAATAACCATTCCTCTCCTCAGCCATAGAGCGAGGGAATCACATGTACATAGTAATACAACTGCTGACAAGGGGGCTTCCAAGCTACTCATCCTTAATAGCAATGGTATACAGGACTATCACCGGATAACCCGTTGGCTGAAGAATTTATCGACCGAACAGTGGCTGGATGATCATCATCTCCATGCATACTGCCGAGTATGGTAACAACCTTGACGCTGGCGGAGATGACAAAGATAACATCATCAGCTTCATTTACTGTTTTCAGATGACCACTGGCTAATTTCATGTTTGTACGTATGTCCGATCCTTCTATCAATACTCGGCAAATTTTTACAGAGTACAATCCGGACTCAAACTGAATCGCATATCGCTCTCTAACCATAGAACGTTTACTAAAGCAGCATCGCTATCCCACCCCCGACAGAATAACCGAATACCCGTAGGATAGGATACGCAACTCAATCTGACAAATGCAGTTCCTCCAATCCTCTTTTGTCCGTCAATAACCATCATATGTCGATTGCAAATGCGAGAGTTATCGACAGAAAGCAACTTTTTTTTTTTTTTTTTTTTTTTTAGAGCGGCTTGGAGAACTCGGGTCGTCCGTAGCCTCCTTTCTGAGATATCCCTCGAGACGGCATCCATGGAGTTACGGATCGTCCTCGTCGGCTCCGAGTCACTAGGGAACCTACCCATAAGAAGCGCGGACAACGCGTAGTGTAGGATAGGAGAGAAAGCCAATGGGTGAACTCAAGAGACCACCGAAAGAGAAAAGAAGGAAAGAGGGACGGGGGAAAACGCCTTGCAGACCTTGGGACTCTTATCGTGCTTCATTCGCTTGTCTTTTCTTGTGATTCTGCAGGTATTCGGACAAGGGTTGCCGGTAGCGGAGTCTCAGCTTGACTGTCACCGACATCTTCGGAAGAATTGGCTGGATCTTTAAGATCAACGGCTTTTGCTACGTACCCAGAAAGAGACATGGTTAGGAATAATGGCCCAAAAGTTTCGTTTTTTTGATACAATTGTATAGCGAAGGAATATGAAGCAAAACTTACACGACGCCATACTAATGGCTCGTAAGACATTGTCCCAATTCGCAAGAACGCACGCAACCGCTGATGCCAAACAAGCAAGATGTTATATTAGCTGGACCGTCGTTCAGAGACAAGATTGATTATCTGAAGATCATACAAACCTCCTGTGCCATCGTTCAACGTCCCTATTTTCGACTCCAGAGTTTGCATCTGCGTTGCCAATATAGCACTCAAATCGCGCAGATGTCTCAGGTTTTCAAGTTCTGCCTTTTTGGACGCTATTCGTATCGCCAAAGCAGATGACTGCTGTTGAGAAATGGCATGGTGATTGCTCGGTTGGCGAAGAGAGGCCCCTGAGCTCCCCGGTGGTAGCATCGTCGGTCGAGACGTGTAAGCCATGGCCCCTTAATTGCCACAAACGTTATATCGTCAACGGGCGTCACAGATCGATAGTTTTTTAGGCGATTTCAAGTTAGGCAGTCTATTAAAGATGTTCGCGGTACGAAGTAAAAGAGTTTGAAATGAGCAGTAGTGCTCCTCCAATCCCACAGGCCGTGCTGTTGAATATTTCACTATATGGGATCAAAAAAATATACTGTACATATATAATAGTGTGATATTGGAGAAAGGGTTGAGATTGGAGATCTCTCCGTACGGACGGGAGCATAGTGAGGTCCCGCTTTCCCAAAGCAACCAGACGGACGCACTATTCCGAATACGGTCGAATGTCAACAAGCGTGGAGTGTGGGCCCAATAATTCGTATCCCCGACCACGAAAAGCGCCATCTTCTGTTTACAAAGTCACCTTCAGCAACAAAATCGACTGGTGCCCCTCACCTGACAGCTTCCCTTGTTGCACCTTCTTCTTAAAGAATTTGAGCGCCTTAACTAGCTCCACCTGGATCGTGTGTCCGGATAGGGACGGGCAGTCAATCACTGTCGACCTCAAGCATGGCTAGATTAAATGAATCTACTGCCCCTACCGAATCTATTGAAATTCGTGAGTCGAGAAAGAGAGCATTACCTTCTCTTTGTCTATTACGCAAGACTATGCATGAAGCTGACAGTTTCTTCCGCCCTTTTAGTTAAACGAAGATTTGTGAGGCAAAATCGCGAAATTGCTCGGGTCAATTCGATACAGTCCCTTCGCATTCGCAGCCTCGAATCCGAAGTCTCCCACCTTCTATCTGAAAATGTATCGCTTCGGGAGCAGACTATATCCCTCAGTCAAGAGCTGGAAAGATATGAAGCAGCCAAAATGCTACACGATGGTGTCTATGGCATCAAAGCGAAGCTAGATAGCAAACTGGCAGAACTTGGTAGCTTGGTGACGGATCTGGGGGCGCTGCCACGCAGATTCAGCAAGCTATGCGACGGACGAGCAGAGTCTACCGACCCAGGGCATTCGCGGTTGTTAAACTTGGATTGGAGGCGCAGGGCAACGGATGCTGAATACAATGCGGCCGCTGAAGACGGAAAACTTCCAGTGATCCTTGAAGACAAGTGCTACCCACGGAAGACATTAGAGTACGTATATATTAAATGCGCGTTTGGTCTTTGATTGCTTCGCCACTTGGATATGACTGACTCTTTGGAAGATCTCAGGAGCTGCATGACATCATTCAGAATGAGGAATGCTCTCCAAGGTCGCCTGATATAGAGGAAGTCACACCAGTTGAGAAAGAAGAACGCATTCACTTCAGTCAAGAGCTGCCAGAGGGTTTGGCTGGTTATCAGATAATGCACACCGATGCTGAAGAGATCGATACCTTACTTCCTCCAACTCTCGAAACGAGAAAGAAGAGAAAACCGAGCCCTGTCGCAATGAACAAGACGGAACGTGCCTTCAGCCCTGATGCGGTCTCTATGAATCACGACGTGAACTTCCCACTGAAGTCAGGAGCCAAGCGAAAATTTATGTCGGAAGAAGCCGAGCTCTTTTCATCGGCAACAACAGATGATGGCGATGATGATTTTCAATATAGCCGATCTAGTCATCTACAGAGCCCGGAAAACCAACACACATCCATATATGACGGATTTTCACCGTCTAAAACCCAGGTAGAGAAAAAGGGAGGATCGAGGGATCGTGGTTCATCCAAGCGAAAAGTGCTTGAGCCGAGTATGCAACTTATCCCCTTTCATGTTCCGAAGCAAGCCTATCGAAACTAACCACTGAAAAACAACAGAGAGCACAAATATCAGTGCAGTTCCTTCAAAACGGGATCGGGCTCTACGGGACCAAAAAGCCCAGGACAAGGCTCACATACAGGATACAGACTGGAGATCTTCGACCAATGGAAGAAGGGAAACGAGCCATCAAGAGAGTGAGATGGATGCGAAGCCGCTCGCCCATTACGCTAATCGACCAGCCCCAGAAGATGACAGCGCTAAACATCCTACTGAGTTCCGAGCATCAGAGCAGAATTCATCATCCGCGCCAGAGATACCTGAAGACGAGGCAACCTCTAATGCGCTGAGTGCCACCCGGCCCACAAGGCGTCAGCGATCTGTTGTCAGCTATGCAGAGCCCAACCTCAGAGACAAAATGAGACGACCTACGAACGAGTTTGCGGATGCGGTTATGGGTGGTAACCCTCGAAGAACGTCGGATATCCAAAGCCCCCACCCGAATGCTAGCGATGGGGGAGACGATCAGAGAAGCGGGGGTTCGAGTAGTATGCGAAGCTCTTATCACTTTGAGACAACCGACAGTGTCCAAAATCACTCTTTTGAAGCTCAGGAGGAAGTCGCTTCCGGAAATTCAATGACTACGATTTCCCAGAGGAAACGCAAGACTTTACCTGCAAGCAGCGACGGCCCTTCTGTTGAGGCCATGGCACTGACACACCCAACACGACATTGCGGCATTCACAACGGTCAACAGATCGACAACGAAGATAGTACCGCTAGTCTGGAAAATGGAACTACCGAGAGAAATGAACCACAGTGGAATGCCGCTTCGCCGGCGAAGTCGGCCACCAGGCAGGCTCGACGTCACTCATCAAACCCTAGGGGACAAAGCCTTGCGTCCGAGAGTGGCGTTGGTTCGACTGACTCATTTCGAGTAAATCCCACAGGTACATTGGCGTTGGACTATGACGAATTTATGCTGGCCAGATCAGACAACGCTTCTCTGGAAGCAGAATCATGTGCGCAATCAATGAACTCCCAGGCAGGCGTTGGACGTGCCATAGTTTCAGGGACAGGTGGCAGGCAAGCTAGACGTGGCCAACGTACAGGTACCAGGAGAAAAAGCATGATGATATAATCCTTTGACGACTGATACCAAAGCTCTCTCCTTCCATCTTCCTTTCTTTTTCTTTTTTTCTTTTCTTTTTTTTTTTTTTTTTTTTTTTTTTTTTTTTTTTTTTTTTTTTTTTATAGAATAGAGCATGTTTTTTTTTTTTTTTTTTTTTGCCTTGCTTTGTTTTCGTGCCTTTCCAGCGAGACGTTCTGTACTTATCAGTTATTCGGCTACACTAGGGGACAAATACGCTGTTGTCATTGCTACCACTCTTGTGTTCCTGGCCACTATAACGCCGTCTAAATTATAGTAAACTGCTTGTATTCCCCGAAAATGTGCAACTCACATAGATTGATGGCATATTGAACGGTTTCTATCCACTTTAATAGGATGGAAATCGATTGACTGACTTAATCATGTCATATTGAATGCACATGCCTATCAAATTAAATGTGCAATGGCCGCTCTCAAGAGCCTTGAAAAAAAGCGGGTTGACTGATTTCTTCCTATGTCTAAAGAGACTTGGAATTTGATCCATAATTATTTATGCGCCTTGTGACTTGTGATGCCCTTTTGATGGTTTTGGCATTCTCTCATAAGCATTTGGACTTGGCTTTCTCCGCTTTCCTTGCTTGTCATGGTGTTTTGTACAACAGGCTGTATGACCTTTTTCTGAGTCTTCTTGAGATGAGTGCCGGTGGTGTGAACTCTCCCTGTGACCCAGATGATGTTGTGAACGGTTTGGCCTGTTTTGATGGCGATCTGCCTCGCTATCGCTATCGGAATCGGAATCGGAATCAGAGGACTCTGATTCTGAGCTGCTCTCACCGACAGGTCGAGGTTTATGATATATACAGCACACTAAGTTACAATCAGTTCAGTCATTATCAACATGAGCGGTTTTCGATATGGTAAAAGATAAAGCAAGTAATGAAGAAAGAGTCATCACCTTTGGAACTCTTCTTGCCCATTCCTTCGTTGTCAACAACATCTTGGCCCCATCTGATATGGCGATTTGGGACGCTTCCAGTGTTGATACCTGAGGAATTTGAATCATCCCCCCTCAGCCTCAATGTGCGTGAGATACGGTTTGCAGATTGATCATCAGGAACTTGGAGGACTTGGGAGCTTGATGCTGCAGGCGATGGCACTTGGCGAGTTTGGGGCATCATTTGCAAGCTTAATACTCGGCGTGAATAGGACTATTAGTTATGGATTATATGACCTTGATGAGAAAAAGAACATGTACCATAATAGATAAGATAAATAATTAAGAAAATAATAACAAAAAACAAAATTCCTGGCGAATTTCCCCACACCGCCTTTGCCGCATATGATGAAATACATTTCTACGGAGTACCGCCTGATTAAAATGCAGCTTCAAATACTTAAATACATAGTAAATAGTATTATGTCAATCTTTTCTTTTGCGGGGACTAGTTGAGCTGTAAGTACCTAAAATTGTAGAAAAAGAAGCAAAACCAAGAGAGTATTTACTAATCATGCATCAAGGTGCACATATTGTGTTTCAACAGCCACCAGGCACACAAAGCACAAACTGTTAGTAGTAAAAGATGGGTAAGAAGGGAGTTGTTGCCGGTAGTTCATAACGAGGAAAAGGAAGATATCCGAACCCAAAATCAAATGGACGATAAATAAGTGGCTCCCTTCCAATTCAAAGCCCATACAGAGACCAACCATCGAGCCAGTCTCCTCCCGTGGGGTTCCCAGACTTTTCCGGATGTTTTGCAACCCCAGTTGATACGGGTTGCGCAAATTCGCTGCGCAGTTCTTGCTCGAGTCATAGCTCATCTTCTTGGTCCATTTCCGATGGCTTCAACAAGCCCCCGACTTTCATCGCACGGTCTCTCTCCGCGGCCTTCGCATCACGCAAAGCCTGCTCCCGTTCCTCTGCGTAGAGCTCTGCATTATCGCCTGCAAACTCCTTCAATGAGATCAGGAAATCTCGCAGGTGGGTTTTGAATTTATTGAAGTCATCATTGAAAGTAAATAGGCCGATGACGAACTGCTTGATTTGTATCCTGAAATACAATTAGCACACTCTTCGTCCATGGGAGGTATGGTATAACCCACTCCTGCAAGTTTTTGAAGGCAGTCTGCAACAAGTTCGCAACATATTCTTGCAAAAACTCTTTATTTGATGTTCCCGGGGGGACTTGATCAGGCGGGTAAATAGGATCCTGCACCTTGCCAGATTCAATGAAGTAGAACATTCGTGATAGAAGCATTGCTTGTGATTTGAACCCTAGGGAAACAAACAAAGTAGTGAGCTTTCGGCCTTTTCTTTTCCTCCCCCAAAGGGGCCAGTGAATGCAAATACATACCCGCCTTGTGATCGCTGTCGGTGAGAACGAAAAACACGTCCTGCAAGATTGGGATGAAAAACTGACGGAAAAAGATACTCGATGTCTGAGCATCAGTCTCGGCCATGTTATTCATCAGTTCAAGGCACATTGCGAGGCCAGTGTTTTCCACTTCGCGATTGTCATGTTTGCTGGCCCACATGCAAGAATCAATCACAAACTTGAATTGCGTTGCATCAAGTTTGAGCAAGGCTGGGAAACAGTACAAGTTGATGGCCTGTAGCAGTTTGAAAAACTGGACACGGTGCTCTGGATATTCGTGGAAATCTTTATTGATCATTTCCAACGTGGATTCAAAGACGCTTTCCATGATCAGCGGTATCTTGTCTTCCATCAAATTCTAAAAGAACAATGTGTGAGACCAAATCGAATTTCAGATCGATGTCGGTTGATGATTGACTCACGTGTAGTTTATGAATGATCGTTGTCATAACGTTCAAGACCTCCGCCTCGCGTGCATCGAGGACATTCCGATTATAATCCACCAAGACTGCTTCAAGAAGTGGTGGTACCATGTTTACACTGACCATTTCCAAATCATCCGTCTTTTGCACATAAGTGTCAACGAGCTTGAGTATTTCCTTCTTTATCGTCCGGAGCCCTCTGACTTTAGGCGTCTTGGTCGCGATGTTGCCTACGAAACCGTTAGCTCTGCTGTATGGGTACAAACGACGCCGAATTCAGGTTGAAATTACCGTCACTGGCGACAGCGTCGCTGATGAGTTGACTAGAAGCTCGAAACATATTCAACATGTCATGGTAGATACGGCCTATCTGAGAATAGAAGTAAGTACCAATTGAGGAGCATGCGGCGACATTTGTTTTCATGATGTTCCCGATGATTTTGATTGTTTCTCCGTCTTGGAGGATTGAAGGGTCTTGGTTCGCTTGAGCTATAATGGCATCCCAAGCAGAGTTAGGAAGCGCCATCAAATTTTCGGTCAACCGATCTTGTAGACCCTTCTGGCCCTGGGCCGAAATCATATAACCGCATGCCTCGTAGAACGTATGAACTTGTTGCGGTGAAAGATCACAGGTAATCTTCCTCATGTTGCGAACAATTTCCTCGATGAAAGGTTCATTCTCCCCAGGTTGGAGCGCAACAAAGTGTCGCCTGCATTTGTTTGCAATCTTTATAAATGTATCACAGGCCATGTCCTGAACACCTAGTGTGGGTTAGCATAGAATATAACTTCCTCACTCGCTGCCAGGCAACTGACCTTCGTGCGTTTCATGCATAAACTCGAATAGCTTGTTCACGACTGTCTTCAGGAACTTCCAATGCGCCTTCAAGAAACGAGGATACTGTCCCACAATATACATGATATTACTCGCCACAACGGCTTTGTTGTCCTTCCCACGCTTCATCTCCGTGAGACCGAGGAGATCCTTGATGATAATGACTAGGAAGCGCTTCTCGGTTTCCTCGTTCATCGCGCCAGAGATCGATCCAATTGCCCAGCAAAGAGTATTGCAGTTCGCCCACGACCATTCCGATCCGTCGACTTGTTTGGCAAGCTTGTCGATCATGATATTCTCCGTATCGACGACATCGAGATGGGTAAGATAAACCAAGCACTCCCTAATGGTCTTGTAAAGCTGAATCGTGTCGCTTTCCTTGACGAATTCGCGGACAATTTCCCCTTCATCGTTCTCAACAATCAAGACTTCCTCTGGTCGCACCATCTTCTCAATCATGACTGTACGTAAACTTGACAGTACCTCTTCATATTTGTGCTTACGAAGAGGGTAATTGGCCAAAGTGCTGGGATGCGGTGCACCCCCGTTCGAAAGACCGCTCACACCCATGCTCACCAGGGGGTTGATATCTGTTATTGGTAGTTGCTGCATCTCTTCGTAGAGTTCCTGGACCAGCCTTGTCCAGTACTCTAGACAAATTTTGAAAACTTCCCTATCGTCAATCTGGCTGATACGGATAAGATAGAAATGCGCGTGGGTAAGATAGTCGCGGTTCGGTAATTTCTCGATAAGCTGACAGACGTATGTGTTAGCATTGCTGCAAAGCCCAGATTTCAGAGAGAATATCAGTTTGGGTATAGAATTCGAGACATACATCGAGATGGGCGCTGAAGAAGCTGCAGAGGAAGAGGGCCAGATTAAGCACAAATTCCTGGTCCCTCGAGTTGCTTTTTGAGAACACCTGCTTCAGATCCATTGACAGCGGAATGGTCTTGGAGACTATAGTAAGTGTTTCCGTAAACATATGCACCAGTCTCTCATCATAGTTGTATGGACTTCCAATTTGCAAGCCCCCAATTTCTGTGAGACATTTGAGAGTTACATTGCGAAATTCCGGAACTTCAAGGAACCTCGTTAAAAGTGTGTTGATAATGGGTGTCTCAAAGATGTATCCTAGCGGGATCCAGTTGAGAAAACGCAAAAGCGTCTCAAGCGTAGCTTTGACCAGGCTAGCTTGGTTTGCGGTACCTAGAACTTCAGAGCACAGTTGAAAAATAGATGAGAATTCCTGTGTCATCGAAGTTTTCAGGTCCCTAGCCTTGACGGACGTCATTTGATCCTGCGAGAAGTCGAATACTTCCTCAGACAGTAGTCGAAGGATGGCCATGTTATTTTCACAGATGGAGAGACTGGTGTGACAAGATGCAATGATCTCGTTGATAAAGGTCGGCCAGTTGCGCGGCCATTCTTGTTTCAAGATGGAAACAAGAACGAGGTTGAGTTTGTTCAAAAGCGCGCGTTCGGTTCTGAGACTTTCTTCCGTCTTAGAGC